TGTATTTCACCTTGACGGTGTTTGTGTACACATTATATATTATATTCAGTTCATGCGTACACTACATTTAGTTTTTGCGATGTACAAAAAACTAGTAGATAAAACCTATTGATTAAAAACCATAACTTCTGAATTGTGGGATCTCGATCTTTATTATCGGACAGTTTATTATTGATTTGAAGATTGTAAATCTACTATTAAGTGACCAAGAGAACATAAGTAGGTTCATTGAAGCCACCTCTAGTGCACCTCAAATGTCTATATTTATTTTGTACTTGGTCCAAGGGAGTTGATACCGTTCAGTATCAATTGATACAGTTGGTATGTATTACTTTTTTTATTAATTTAAAACGGTACAAGTTTTAATTTCAATTTCAATTTAGTTTTAATTAAATTTTAGATGTTTTGATCAATTTTTGATGTACTTATTAGTATATCAAAATTAAATCGATACAAATCAATTCAATTTTTTTTTTTTAAAGAATCTCAAACCAAAACGTTGCTTTGGCTTGTAGGAACTTAAATCTCCAACAGAAATCCTTTTGACAATTTCAGATTCAAACTTTCAATTCTTCTCAATGCTCACCGGTTGTTGCTCTTTTTTTCAACTCTATTCCCTCCACTTTTTAAGCAACAACGGAGATATAGGTTGATTTTATAGCATATCATATTTTGGTAATTTTTTTCAATTATAAATTTGTTTTATAAAAAAAAAATTATGAATATTTTATAAAATTTGTCATTTTAAACTTATTTTCAATTTATAGGAATATGATGATTTTAAATATTAGTTTTTCTTATTATTATTTTAAGTTTTTCTTATTATTATTTTAAATTTTTATAATAATTGATTTCATAAAATTTATTAAAAAAATATATATTTATAGCAATACATCTAAATAATATGTGAAAAATTTTAATATTTAATATGTATTATTTTAAAAACAAAACCAATGTACATACCAGTAGCATATTAAGAGATTGTTTGGTGTGGTTGGAGCTTTTAATAAGAGTGCTGTTAGAAGGAATCTGTTGTAGAAGTACTGTTTTTGAGAAGTTAAAAGTGTTTGATAAAATTTTTTATAAAAGTACTTACAGAATAAAAAGTTGTTTAGTAAATTTTTTTATAAAAGATCTTTTAATATTAAAATGACTGAAATAGACATTGTTTAATTTTTATCACTCTTATTTTATTATTTTATTTTTTTATATGACTTTAAATTTATAATTAGTTTAAAGTTGATTAAAAATTAATTATTCAAATTTTAAAATATAAATGTTAGATAAATATTTATATTTTAATATTAAAAAACAAAATATTA